CAGATATGCCTGATATCCTTGATCATGTTGCTCAGGTCGTTCAGGCTGTTCTGTCTGATCAGGTCGGTCAGGTCGATCAGGTTGGTCAGATTGATCAGGTCGGTCAGGTTGATCAGGTCAATCAGATTGATCAATCATATCTGGTAGAAAGGCCATATCTATTCTATCACAATATCAAAGATGCTTATAAAAATGGCTAGACCTAAAAATAGATAATGTCAATTATTTCAATTACAGGCATCAAGATAAGAATATTAAGCCATATCAATAATTTGGAAATTATCATTTGTAACATTTTTGTCCCCTATCCATTGCAAGTAATTGACTCAAATAAAGAAATCCTATTATTAGAAAGAGATTGATTTAAGTAAATACAAGCAAGCATCTGTTTTAACAAATAAAGGATTACCTTTTAGTATAAAGGCAAAATAATTAAAGTTCCTATAGTCAAAAGTGAGCTGATTTAGAATCAAACCACTGAGAAAAAGAGAGTGCTAATGAAACAGACAATAATAATAATGAAAAGTAACAAGTTAATAGATTCCCTGCAATATAAAAGTGAGAAATTAGAGGAAGCTGAGAGATATTTTACTGAAGAAATTATTAGTGAAAAAGAATTTTCTAAGTTATAACTGAATGATAAAAACCCAGCAGCCTATTTGGCACAAACAGAAGAGTGTGACAATAATAATACTATTTGTTACTGACAAGATTCTAATAGCCAAAACAAAATTATAGAAGAATCATTTAAAAGTATGGAAGATAATAATAAACAAGATTGTTTGTATCTGGCAATTTAATCTGAGAAGCAATCCAATAATATTAATGCCAGAAACAAACTTGTTTGTTTTGTATTTCTATTACAATTGAAAGAATTATCTACCAATGATAATAAAAAAAGAAAGAATCTATTTAAAAGAAAATTATTGAGATAAGTGTTGATGAAAAGATAAATGTATTGCAATAAGAAAATGCAAAATTATTTTTACAACAAAAAAGTGATGTTTTCACAGGATCAATCCAAGAATTAGAATGTACTGATAAAGTTTATCATGAAATTAATATCAATAATGCAAGGCTGATCAAACAAAACACATACCAAATAGCTTCTATTATAAAAGAATTCATAAAATAGAAAATCAGTCAACTAAAGGATAGAGGCTTAATTTGTGAATCTCTAAGTTCTTAGTTATTGCCAGTAGTAATTGTATCGAAAAAGGGAAAAAATTGTAATAAAAATTTTAATTTCAATCTTACAAATAACAATCTTAATTAATATTTTCTTCTATTGAAAAAAAAATCACAAAGCAGTTATGCAATACTGGAGTATTAATTAAAAATTGTTATATGTGGTAGTAATAGACATGCCCAAAATAAGAAGAGATTAATTAACTTATCTTTCTAGAGTAATGTTGTCATGAGGAGATATTTCTGAAAGTTATCAAAAAAGATAATGACTCAAACCATTCAGAAAAGGCAACAAAAGAAAGAAAAGTATTAATTATAGTTTCAAGATTGGTTAAGTTAAACCTATGTCTCAAGTAGAGAAAAGAAGAATAATCTACTTCAATGTTATGTAAATTTGACTTGCCACAAATAATAGGCTTGCCAAATTCATGTCAACAATTTGAATCAAAAGAAAATAATATATTGTTGATATCATAACTTCTGATACAATATAAAATATATTGTATATTAATCAAATATTTATTTAACATCTTTTAAAAATAATAAAAACAAAAAAATCATATTCTGGGAAAAAAAATTTTATATTTGTTCAAAGGTCTTGCAATTGATGTTGTACCAACTGCATTAAGATCAATAAATGCATGCTTGGATGCATGAAGGCTAATTTGGTAAATTAATTCTTTTATTTCCTGATTAGTCTGAGTCCTTATAGTTATCCTCATTATTATCAATTTCAACCTCAATTAGATTTCTATTTTCACAATCATCCTTGTCAAAGTTATCATTATTAATTCCAACCTCAATCATTTTTCAATAGTTTTTTGCTATATTCAAACATTTTTTCCAACACAAAATAATGACTTCTGACTTGATTTCGTCTTGAAAAAGATAAAGTAATGTATTTTTAAGGGTAAGAATGTCTGGTGATTGCTGCTGTTTGCAATCTTATTTTTATAACTCCTTATACCATTTCAATCGATTGTAGTTCACAATTATATGGAGAGGTATAAAGCAACTGGTAACTAAACTTACTTGCAATATTAACAGTGGCAAAAGAAACAGATTGTTTTTTATTTTTAACTAATTCACCTAATTCTGCTTTGGTTATATGCGTATTGAACTTTATATTGTAAGTTTTTAACCATTCCATTATTATAGCTTTATTCCAATTTGTGGTTGGTACGGCTTTAAAATGATATTTATGATACCTTGCTCCATCCATATGAATAATACATGATCTGTAAATTTCAAAAAGTCTTTTACAGAGCTCCTCAAATATTTTTTCAAAAACTTCCACATTAAAATTTCCATGATAATCCACCATATCAGAACAAATACCTGCCATCTTCATGAAATCTGAAACCATCTCTCATGCTTCTGAACATTTTTTTTTTCTTCCTTTTTCAGTTGTTAGTTTCGTGCTAGGATCCCAAATAAGAAGAGATTAAGAAAGTAATTCACTTTTTATCTGATTGCTATTTTTATTCCAGAAAATAACAATGGCTCTGAAAATAACAAGTATATAACCCCTACTCTTTTCATAGACTATTTCATTTGTTGAAAGCCAGGTTAGACGTCGGTTATAATGCATATGACAATAGAATTCATCAAGAAAAACCTCCAGAAGAGTTGTTATGTTATTTTATCTTGTATGTTTTCAAATTGACAATGAAGATAATATGTCCAATATGCAATATTCTGGAAAGACTCATAGAAAATATTGTGCCATTAATATTTGCCATAATGATAGTCCAGTCTTTTTAAGTAATGTGCAAGTTGTGCCTTCGAAACTGAAAAGCCCAAATTAAATAACTCAAATGGTAAGTTCTTAGGGAAAGAAGAAGAACATTTTTGTTTACTGATAAAATAAGATTACAAAGGATATTTACATATTCTATCTGAAAATCTTAAGGAGGACGACAACCTTGTTTTGAAGATGTAATCTGCCCAGTTTTATTAAACTCAATAAAAATACATGCAATAGTAGCTTCGCCAACTTCAGTGGCAAGAGAAACTTCTTTGTGCAACTTAATGGCTTGATGTGATTGTCGATTAGATTTGTTTTTATGAAGATAGTGATAAACAAATATGATCATAATTTTTTTGTTAGCAGTTAGGGTGATTATGGCATGTTGATTTTGGAATAATTCAGAAAGTGCAGAAGATAATATTATAATGAAGAATATTTTTTTACTAGATATTGGATTTTTTTACATCACTTTAAGTACTTGACAAGTTTGACAGAAACGTAAAGAGTGGGTTTGTATGCATTAACATGATATAAGAAAGAATATAACATAATAAAAAAAAACTTGTTATTATAAGAAGTATTCTTAATAGTGATTAGTAAAAATGTGAAAGAAAATGTTATCATATTATTTAATTGTATATTATCTAAGTGAAATTTATATATTATACCTAATCTGATATAATAAGTATAGGACTGTTCACTTGCATAATAGCAACATATGATAATTTATTTTTAATTAACTTTCTTTAATAAAAAGTAATAATTATAAAATTTTTTTAATTATTGTTAGTATTGTTAGCAATAGGATCGGATATAGGAATGGGATCAGCGTGGGTTATATGACGTAGTGCGATGCATCAGTTCAAGCATCAATGTGGAGATAAAAGTTTAATAAGTCTGTTGAATATTTGCATAATATGATGTTAGATTGGTAGACGTGTCTCAGCTAATATAAATAGAAGTAGAGTTGTATAATAATCAAAAGGATAGTAATAGTGATAGTCAATTGCAATATAATTGTATAATCAAATCTGTATTTGCATAATGATAATTAATAAACTTTTCTTATTGAGATACTTGTTGTCTAAAGAATCCGATGGTAGCCAATATTGAGTCTGTTGGTGAAGGATTATACCTGAGGAACAAGTGGGAAGAAAGAAAGTTAAAGAATTGTCATGCCAACAAGTACCTTTGGTATTGCAAGTGACATGACCCCTATGTATTAGAAAATGGCAAGCTTAGTTCCAGAGTGGTGACAAACTTGCTGGTATGATTAACAGTCACTAGTCGAAATGGATTTATTCGGCATAATGTCACTTGTCAATCATTTGTTAAAAAAGTATATAATTTGGCTAATCAAAATTATATAACTTTTATCTTCAGCTATAAAGTGGCATATAATTTATTCGGCACATAAATGGTACACTTTTTTTAAACCTCATTTTGAAGAAGTTAATAT